ATTAATTCCCATGTAGCAATATTGAGATGTATCTTATTGGCTTGCTTGATTTTTTAAACTTCTATCCCAATTGATAGAAGCTAATTAAAATTAGGTGCACATGAGCTTTTATTAAATGGCTGCTACAAAGATGGTAAAATTCAGGAAGTGATGGTCCAACCCATTCCCTTTAATAATGTTGACAGAGTCACAATTGGGATAATTTAAGATTTATGAGATTCTAAGCATCCATATGTCCTTACTATTTCCTGAGGAATTGTTTTTAAAGAAATGAATGTATGTGCCATTTCAGCCTAATGAGAGCAGAACCACCAACTTAATAGTGTAGACCCTTACCTAAAATCAGAGTTCACCAACACTAGTAGTATGATTGTGGGCAAAAGCATTTGGGGTTTATCTATCAAGTTAATTAAAGGCTGTGTTTTCAGCTATTCCCCATTATATACTTTTATAACAAATTATGGGAAAATGATGAATTTGGTAAAACTTAGGATGCTAAGATCACAAATTAGCGTATAGATTGTAAATACTTTTCTCATGTTTGTTTCATAAAACAAGTCTGGAGATTGGAATAAGTTATCCAAAATTTTTGTTGCAAAAACTAAACAGTGTGCCCCGTACCCTGAGAATCCTGGCATTTGGGATCTGGAAGCAGCCTTTGAGAGTAACTCCTCTAGAGGGGAGGGATGAAGAAGTGGTCCCCAAGAGCTCTGGTTCCATACCTGCTTGCCATTGTGTAACCTTGTGATCTTGGTCCCATTAGGTAATGCCTTGACCCACAGTTGCCTTATTTGTAATGGAGTTGGCAATAACACATATACCCGCCTGGAAAGTTGTAAGCATGAAATGAAATGTCCTGAAAGCATTATATGAACTATAAAGCCCAGTGTCAGTGTTAGTCATTATTATTACTGTTACCTAGAAAACCCTCCCCCTCACTTTGCTCATGAAGAGCACAAGTATGCAATGACTTGCCCAGGAGCTTTCTTCCTATCCCCAGGAGACACTGAAAGAACCAGGAGGGAGGCAATAAGTTCAATGCTAGGGCCACCACTGGCTGCTGAACAACTTGATTACACTATTTTGCCTCACCCCCTACAGAGGGATAAAGAACTATAGGATAGAAAGGATGCTATTGGATTAGCACACCCGCAGTACAGCTGGGCCCACTAAAGAAGAGAAAACCACATGGTGTGGGATGTACAGTGCACCAAGGCCCCTGAATAAAAACATTTTATAGGCAGCAAAGGGTAATGGGGCTGTCTGTAGGGGCACAACCCCTCTTACTACAGTGAAAGAACAAGACAGAGTGTTCTAAGACTGAGAAGAGCTCTTGTCCAGACTATCTCCAGAATTCTCCCTTGTCTTATTTTTTATTCCTGTTGCTCCTTACATTTCTAATGTCCAAGTGGTGTATTCACTCTTAACACTCTGGTTCAAACATTAACAAAAGTCCTTTTTTTTTTCTTGGCTTTCTCTTAGTCATGTTTAAATTTTCAAAAGAATTTTACTAAATATTAAATGCAGGCAAAAAAAAAATCATAAGGCCATCAAAACAGTGAAGTCAGGATTTAAATCCCAGAGTATCTGCCCCCCAAACCCTTGATTTTTTTGAGCTCATTAAATGTAAGATAACCATCACATTGTTAAGACAAATTATGCACACAGGAGGCAAGGTGCTTAGAACTCTCATGGGGATTTATATTTTCACACACAATGCATGAAAAATTTGATGCACAAAGAAATCACGTTTCTGCATGTGTTTCCAGAACTCAAAATATCAAGTAGCCAGGCTAACCAATAAGTATCATGTAAGTTTTAAATTATCAATACCAATTTGCTACACTAAAAAAATAAAAAGTAATGATCAAACATTTTTATTGAGCATTTCATTTTCACTTTGTCCAGATCTCTGTCCCACTTCTTGTATGGAGATGGACAGGTTGAAGGAGGCACCTGCCTGAGCCAAGGCCATTGATGTGGCAAGGGCCAGTGGAGGAGGACAGAGGGTTGTTTGGGGCCATTGATGGACAGTGAGGCTAAGGTCCAGCATAGAAAGGTCACAAACAAACATGGGGAGAGTATCAGGATAACAGCCAGAAACTAAGATGGACTGAAAGTGTGTCTGACTCAAAGGTATAGATTCTAAGCAAACAGCTTTCTCATCAGGTGGGAAGAAAAAAGAGGATACAAACCAGTGAGAATGATGGACTCCTGTTATTGTCTGCTATCCTCACTTTCTTGGGGGTCAGAGGGAAGCTTAGCCCTCAGATACCGGATCAAGACAATAGAACAAGGCCCAGTTTGAGCTGAACCTCAGATCCTTTTGGTCTCTAAAGGGGGTCAGAATGATATCAGGCTAGCAGTAGCTTTTTCTTAAATGCATGCAGACACACTAATAATGCTCATTAGGCATATAGCTCATTCGAATTTAATTTAGAGTGTTTAATTTGTGTCCCTGTGTAGTTGCCAGGACAGATGTGTGCATGGCTTAGGCATACTTCTCTCTGCATGAGACAGATGTCAGGATATTGGGCCATGTTGGAAAAATGCCAGTATGTTTGTTAGTGACAATACATTGTCAGCCTCCCTTCCCCCAACTGATATTTTCATTTTTGTAGTTAAAATGCCAGCTCCAGCTCAGAAAAGAAGGATTTTGAGAGAGGTAGAAGAAGACAGAAGCAGGGTAAAGGTGGAGAAGAAAATAGAAAGTAACCAAGAGGTAGAAGAAAGGGAAAGCTTTGGGTCAGTCATTCCCTATAACTAAAATACTCTAGATCATTTAGGATTCACACACATTACTGGGATTCAACCTGCTTTCGGAGAGAGATTAAAAATGAAGAATCCTGGGGGTGCCTGGGTGAGTTAGTCTGTTATGCCTCCAACTCTTGATTTCAGCTTAGGTCATGATCTCATGGTTGGTGGGATCAAGCCCCATGTTGGGCTCTGCACTGTCAGTGTGGAGCCTGCTTGAGATTCTCTCTCTTCCTCTCTCTCTCTGTCCCTCCCCCACTCGTGCTTCTATTTCTCTCTCTCTCTCTCAAAATAAATAAACTTAAAAAAAAAAAAAAATGAAGAATCCTGGCCCCACCCCAGAGCTGCTACTTCTTAAAGACCATGGACCTTTTATAGGCCATGGGCCAACCCTGAGAGCCACTGGCTGTGGCAATCTCTAAGGTTTCTTTCTAGCCTTGAGAATCTTTGCTTATGAGAAGGAAGGGAAAAAAAAAAAGAGTTGGAATGAACATCTAAGGCATGACTGTTACATCCATGTTGCTTTATCCTGGGGAAGCTGCCCTTCTGATAAAGTCTGATAAGATATCAAGATCACAGGAGGCGAGAGAAGGATGTTTGATGTGCGTGTTAATATCTTTCTGTTGTCAGAGTTATTTCACCAACTGTGGCACATCCCTCACTAATGACAGTTTTTTATCCCCACCTTGTAAGTCTCAAATGTTTTGATCTCTTTGATGTCTTTATCCATCTAACCTGCAAAGATGCTCGAAGCTCCACCCCTCCCCCCTGGACCACCCCACTAGTGAGTCAGAGGTAGGTAGAAAGGAAGTGCCAGCCCCCTGGCTTTAGTCCCTCTTCTCTGTTCCTGGCTACTGAAACCTCTTACCCCATTTATCTTCCTCTTGGAGATATTCTTATGAGTAGGTTTCTATTAATTCTAGGTACAGCAGACAACTCCTCCTACTCTGCCAGAAGAACCAGAGGCTCAAGAAGAATGTCCCCCTCTGTCTATCCCATCACTCCTTAGTAAACCTTGTCAAGACTCCCTAAAACTTACAAAAGCTATACAAAATGTCTAGAAAACAGATCTCCTCAATCACAATACAACTGTCTCCATTTTATGTAGTTTCTTGATGAATTTCCATGTTCATATTTTACATAGAGCATTTACAATTTTCATGGGACCTTTTCTATTATAACCATTTTCCTCATCACTGTAGAGTCTTGATAATGATCTTTGAAAAAACTGCAAACTTCTCCATCTGGAAAATTACAACTTTATCAAATACTTGTAAGTATTTGTAAGTGTTCCCATGTACCAGGTACATAAATATTATGACAAATATTAATTCATCCTCATAATATTGATAAATATAAACTCCTTTCACACTTCTAACAACTCTATTATTCTCGTGTAATAGATGAGGAAATTGAGGCTCAGAGACGTTAGATAACCTGCCCACTCACTCACACAGTGAGTGAGCAGTAGAGATAGGCATAAGCTCATCTGTGCTTATGACCACTATGCATTTCTCACATTTTATATGACTACTTTTATACTGTTTAACATTTAAGCTGCTTGTAGTTATAAATACTGCAAACAATAATACTGTTGTTTATGGCTTCTTCATAAACAAAGAATGATCTTCTTTTGGATTGTTTAGAATAGGTTTCCAGAAGAGCTTCCTACTCCACTCCCTGTTTTGAGTTGACAGAGGACACAGTCCTACATAAATTCCCATTGGGGTAATCTGAACTGTGGAGAGAAAGAATACTTTCTTGCAAGGCTATTAGGTCTTGATTCATGGCCAGTGTAATCTAGGAACAATAAAGGGAAATTATTAAACTTGCAGTTTAGTGAAAGTAAAGGCTTCAGATATTAGATCATGTTCTGCAGCCTGGTGTTACTCAGTGCCTTGTGGGTGACCAGGTAGCCATAAAGCTACTCTCCAAGCAAGAGAAACAAATTGTCTTTGTTTCAGTGAGGGAAACAAAAGTGGGATAACTCTTCAGCAGCAAATGGATTAACCAGCCAGTTGGTGAGTTTAGTCTTTCTTCTTAAATATGACTGTTTTGACCTCCTGTAGACAGAAGTTGATTTAAAGATCAAGCCCGGTTCTCTAGAATTTCTGCATAGATGGAGATGGAGCTGGCAATCTTTTTGGAAAGAGGTGCTGAGGGGACTTGCCTTGAAGCTACATTCGCATAGCGAGTACAGCTGTTTCCTTCTGCAGTACATCTGTTTAGGGGATGGCTTGAAGTGGATGAACTCATGGAAATTATGCCTCACTCCACCCCTAGACCCACCACCAGGTCAGTCAACTTATGTTTAAGGTTTTTGCATGATATAGACTAAAACCACCAGAGGTCTTAGTGGATCATAGGGCATTTCTTTTCTTTTTCTCATTTGTGTCTCAGGCCCATAGTTCTTCTTTGCCTAGGATGATACCATAAATAACAAAAACTGAAAATGGTTCCCATTCCCCTAGGCCAATGTACATCTTCAACCTGACATATGCACTCTTCTCCTGGACCGTTCCAGTGTTAACAGTCATACATCTGTTCCCATTCTCCCCAGTTACAAATATAATTATCATATCCCATTTGCATATTTTATTGATGGTCTCCCTATCATATAGAAGTGATAAATGTGAAAACCAGAAATAAGAAAAGTAGAATGTTAAAATGAGAGGAAAACAGGAATAGTTGATTTTTCACCCTGTTTCTGGGAAATTACAATGAGCCCGTGAGCCTGAGTAAAATGTGTCAATGTCACAGAATCCATAGGCTACCTCACAGGCCCATGCCTTTCCTTGCTCGGTATCTCACTGTATCAAGCTATTGAAAACCTCAAAAGTGTTCAAAAGATAACGAATGTGGGACGGGTTTTTACAGGGGTGGAGGAGGGGGAAGAGGTTGGTCCTGATGACATTTTAAGAACGTTAACACCTAAGTAAATAAGACCTAAAAGAGAGTGACTAATGTCCAGGAGCTATATGCCGCATACCTGATACTGTTGCCTGGCAACCTGTAGCCAGTCCTAGAGCAATGGAATCCCAGGCAAAGAAGGAAATTGGAAATGTGTCCAGAAGAGCACATTTACCACCCCTACCCTTGTTTGCTAACTCTGAAAAGAATTGGGTAAGGGACTCTGTTTTAAAATGTACCCAGGATTTTAATCAGGTCCGGTAAGATACACAGACATGGAAATGACTGTCACGAAGGAAGAAGTTTATACTCACAGATCCCTACAAACAAGGGGCACAGCAAGCCACACAGGGAAGCACCAGGGTCAGTCAGGAGACAGAGCAAGGGGAAACATGGGTGAGCGACTTTTTTGTGGTTTTCATGGGAAAGACTAGGCGAGGCAGGGTAAGCAGTTTAGACAAGTTTAGGATTGGCTAGTTTCAATAATTTGAGTGGGGGTGCCTGGGTGGCTCAGTTGGTTAAGCGACTGACTTCGGCTCAGGTCATGATCTTGCAGTTTGTGAGTTAGAGCCCCACATCGGGCTCTGTGCTGACAGCTCAGAGCCTGGAGCCTGCTTCAGATTCTGTGTCCCCCCCTTTCTCTACCCCTCCCCTGCTCACGCTCTGTGTCTCTCTGTCTCTTAATAATAAATAAACGTTAAAAATATTTTTTTTAAATAATTTGACTGGGCTGTGGCCTGTAGGGGTGGTTCCTAGTTGCTCAGTACCTGACCCTGGGGCATGATTGGGGCAGAGGGATAGTGTTCTGTACTGTAAGGACCTGATAAAAGGTAAGTGGGGGTACAGACTCACAATTGCTTGGTCTGAATATCGAAGGCAGACTCACAGGCAAGTTTACTGTATCTAAGAATTAGCTAATCCGAGGAGGGGCAGTCCGTCCTCAGATCTGCAAATTCCACACAATACAGAAAATAAGAAAATATAGTTAATACAGAGCCAATACACATATACAAGCAAAGGATCTGTTGTCTGTTTTGTAACGTAAGAGGTTTCTGTGTTTTAGGGGTTGGTTTTCCCAGAACATGTAAGAAACCTTAAAGAACAACATTAGGAAGATCTCCTGTTCCCTGTCCCTTTAATACCCAAGTACACAAAAGCAAGCCTACATTCAGTTCTAATGCCAAGCAGTGTGCCTCCAGAAAAGCCATTCTTTCAAGATTTGCACCTAGTACCTAAAAAGCATTGAAATATTTTATGCAATACCAGCATATAGTCCACAAGACACAGGCTTAAAAGGATAACTCCAACTAGTACAAGACTCGTATTTGATCATTTTGATCATCTCAACACAGAAAAGTGGAAAATGTATTTTTTTTCCCAGCTCACTTGCCAGGTTTAACCAGAGTTCAGGCATTAACTATGTCATTTCCTATCACTCACAGTGAGCATTGCTAAAAAGCATTATCTGGGAATACTATATTATGCCATTGTTGATTAGTTTCATTAACGAGAATAAACATTTGCAGAGCCTATTGTGTTTTTAAAATGGTTTACAAGTACTGCTGGCTCACTTGTTAATAATTACGTTGGGGGACTCTTAACAATACATATTTAGGAGATAAAAGCAATGATTGTGATGGGATTAGGGGGAAAGGCAAGTAATAGCATTTAGCACAGTTATTTTCAGTTGCATAGTGTCTTCAAGCCTGCACTGACTAACCACCATTTTCACTGCATTTGGGTCCATATTCCTAATATTCAAAACCCAGCACAAATACACAAACAATATGGTGAAACTATATTTTAAGCTTTATATTATCTACTCTTTCTTGTTGCCCTTTGGTGTCTTGATTTGCACATAGCATGGGCACAACTGAGGCACGACTGTGAGTGTACCTACCCACCTACCATGGGGCAGGAGACCTGGTTCCCTGCCTCTGCTGTGATGGATGACCCCAAGAACTTCACTGCGTCTCTGTTCTCAGCTGTAAAACGACTGAGGAAGGGAGGTACAGTGGGAGCAAGGGATTTACATCCAATGAATCAATCATCTTGCCACTTTCATTGAAGCTTAAATGTGTAGTTTCAGGTGTCTCTTTACTTATTATCTTACTAAAACTGACACATTAATGGGACCATAACACCGTGCATGCATGTACACACACACACTTACCAAACTTTACATGTTGAGACATTTATACCTTTTTGGAATGGAGACATATTCCAAAGCCACTCATTAAAAAAGTAAAACTTCATGAATCTTCTGAATTTTCTAAGCTACATTTAATATTATAGTGTTTTTACTCTAATGTTCAAGTAATATTGACCCTTCAAGTCAGCATTTTCCTATGACATTTGGGTATACCTGGCACACCCCCACACATGTGTCATGCCTGCCCTCAAGAGTAAGAGGAGCAGTATTAAGCCTCATGCTCCTCTTTGCTCCTTGATGGACCCTGAAATCTAAAGTGAGGTTGAGGATGGACAGTGGACCTCATAATTCCCTGCCCTGTTTTTTAACTGACTCTTGACAAGTTCTGCTAGTAGAGACTGAAGTGGTCCAGGAAATATAATCAGAACCAGGGCCCTATTTGATAATAAAGATACATTCTTTGGGAAATTTTTCCATCACACTCATCTTCAATTTTATAATATAACTTTAATTGTAGAAATAGATGTTCTTTAAAGCCAACAGTGATACAAGTATCTCAAGAAAAATCACTTTATATATTATTAGAGATGTCATTTTGAAAACACTTTATTTTAATAAATACTTTTAATAGTATTTATTAAAATACTATATATTTTAATAGTAACCACCATTTTTGGAGGATGTATATGCTACATATTCTGCCTGTCTTACATTAGCTATGTCAATCAGGGTCCCCTCAGGGAACAGATAGCACTCACGGGGATTAGTGGGCATGTTTTATTCTTTCAAAAGACATGTTCCAATAATAGTGACAAAGTTCACGGACAATAAACTTTATCAAGATTTGCCAAAACAACTTTCTTTGGTGCTTTCCAAAATGTTTCAGTGTAGGGCGCCTAGGTGGCTCAGTCAGTTAAGCATCTGAGCCTGCGTTTGGCTCAGGTCATGATCTCACAATTCGTGGGTTCAAGCCCCGCATCGGGCTCTGTGCTGACAGCTCAGAGCCTAGAACCTGCTTCAGATTCTGTGTCTCCCTCTCTGTCTGCCCCTCTCCTGCTCGCACTCTGTCTCTCTGTGTCTCTCAAAAATGAATAAACATTTTTAAATAATTAAAAACAAACATTTCACTGTGTAAAAAATTAGTATAATTTAATAAGAATTTACTGAGTCAGTATACTTCTGAAAATAACTTCCTGATATCCCTCTCCTAACATCAAGGAAGTTAAGCACTGATGGAATCTAGTCATTGTTTATTCATTATTTATTCATTCATTACTCAATGAAACATTGAAAGCCTTAGTCATTAAAAATAACATATAACCCTAAATTGAATACTGTAAATTTACTAACCCGATTGATTTTTGAACATGTAATTATGTGACAGTTCAGTTTGAAAGACTTGACTGATATAATGAAATATCAAGGAAATCCAATTTTAATTGATTACTTTGTTATAGAGGTTTTTTTTTAATCTCTTGGAAAAACAAATGACTATATAATAATGTGGTTGCTGTTTCCTTTCTGCCCAAGCAGGGAATTGGAATTTCTTTCTGTTAATATAGTTTCTGACTTTATAACTATTTGTGGCTCAGAGCTTTACTTTGCTACATAAGCCAACATTGCCGTGCGGTGTCTGTTACTTTCAGTAAGTCTCATGATGTGAGATCGAGCTTCGTTAAGCTATGCTAGTATGTCTCTGCCATCTCAGTATCTTCTGCACCCAAACCTGCAAAATGGGGATAATTACCAACTTCACTGGCTGTCATGGTGATTAAATAGAACAATGTAAGAAAACCAACCACCATAATGCCTGCTACAGATTAACTGGCTCGGTTCTTTACCTTTCTTACATGTGTCATAAAAGGGCTGTGGTCATCTTCAAAACACTGCTTGACATCCTGATTCTGCCATAATCATGCAACAGTGGTCTGACAGAGCCTTATATATTAAACTTTCCTTCTGAACTTGGCTATCCTGATTTTTTAAACAGCTTTATCGAGGTATATATTACATACCATAAAATTCACCCATTGCAGATATGTAGTTCAGTGATTTTCATAAATTTGTGCAGTTATACAGCCATCACCTAGTACACTTATAGAACATTTCTATCACCCCAGAAAGTTTCCTCATGCCCATTTACAGCACCTCACTTTCCCCTCCAATGCTAGGCACTACTGATCTGCTTTCTTTCTCTATAAATTTACCTTTTCTAGACATTCTTACAAATGGA